GAACTGGTAAAGTCAGTGTAGAGCGAAGTAGATTTGCTTTGATTTTTGTAAGTTCAAGCTATAGTGCGTAAAAGCCTCAGGGTTTGAGGAGGCTTTTGGTTTGAATGTCTCCCTGCCTCTCACATGAGCATCCTGCCCTACGCTGCATTCGCATTTTGTGGGCAACACGCTCAGCAAAACCATGCACGATTTGCTGAGTTGCAACGACCATCTCTGCCTGATTTTCTTCGCACCGCAAAAGGGTAGTGTACAAAATAGGGACCACCTAGTAATGGATGGCGCCCTCGTTGATTTGAACCCAACAAAAAGGGGGCTTCAGGTTCGGAAAAGCCGCAGCAACACCAGACGTCTGCAAACAAAAAACTTTCGCCCTTACGGCAGGGTGCCCGTTGCGGTCAGTCCTTGCGACGTCCCTTGTTTCCAGCCTGAGCACTCCTAGCACTGCATGCTTGCCTAGTTGCCCAGCGGCTAACTTCCCGTCAAATGTTGACGCTTTCGTCATGAGCACAGTTGTAAAGCTAGCAGCACATGTCCTAGGAACCGCTCCCCGAGAAGTCTAACCCCCCAAGTCTGCGATCATTTGAAAGTCGGATATGTCACAAACACATGCGAGGATCTGGGATTGTCACCAAGTGGGATGTCCACCACGGCGCGGGATCCATCACAAGAGCAGTTTGGGTGAGTGATATGGATCTGCAGCCGTAGTGCCATCCATGAGCCTTGCCTTTTGTTATTCATCAACAAGGACCCATTTTAGCACCTGAAAGGGTACAGTACAACCGAAAAAGAAGACACTCGCGACTCACAAATCCCACTTCGAACCATCCCCACCCAGATTGCGCCGTAGTCCTTTTGTGGTAGCTTTTAGAGTCCTGCCTGACGGCAAAATCTTCCGGGCCCTAGCAACGTAGTCTGCGCGTAGTCTTCCTCGTCAAGTCCACAGTCTCACCCACCAGGCGCACCAGATCGCGGTGCGTAGTCTTCCTCGTAGTCTTCCCCCGAGTCTTCCTACAGTCTCGCCCGGCACGCCGGGCCCTGTCTTCCGGTAACCTTGTTCGCGTTGGGTCCCCAGTCTTCTAGTAGTCTTCCTCTTATCTCGCCCGGCGCGCCGGGTTACCACCGCAGTTTCTCCACCTTACTGTTGTTCCAAGCGCTCCCGGCCAGTTTGGGTCTAGAGCGTTTTGGCGCTAAAGGTAGGACGTGCCAGGCCTGGCCGGCTCCAACATCTGTATAGCTGACCGGCTCTGGCCTCTCAGATCCTGACCGCCGCGTATCTGGCCCCAGACACTCAGACCCGGACCTGCGCATATTTGGCCCCATGGTTCTGGCATCTTTCAGACCGCAAAAATCCAGCACCTCCTGTGACAGGTGGGGAACAAGATATGAAATCACACTGACGCGATCCCGGAGCATTCTGAGCAGCCGCGCGATGGACTGGTGTGGCCTGGGGCGTGCCTCGAGTGCGGCCATTGCCTCAAAGGGGCACCTGCTTTCTGCTCCGCCAAAACTTTAATGCAAAACCCAGGGGTTGGCAAATGTGAAAGTCCTAACATCCAAGCAAAATGCACCAAAGCAAGTGTAGCCAGGGTGGAGGCAGCAATCAAACACATCAAACACCATGCTTCCCATGACCCCGTCAGGCTTCCGGCTGGGTTGAAGTGAGTGATTGTGACACAGCGAGGAACCAATGCCCAAATGGGCGTGTCCAAAGTTTAGGGGACCCCTCGAGTCGGTGGCTTCCTTTTGGCTTCCCTTACCAACCCAGACATGGAACTGTTCCCTCAAAGAAGACACCCAAAAGCACGAAAGATCTTGAGCAAACTGACGTGTGCGTATAAAGCACAAGGGCGGCGCTGGTCTACGCCCAGTTCTGCAAATTCCCAAACTGGTGCCTTGACCAGGCCCCAGCTTGCAGCAAGACAAGCAAGGAGAGACCTTTATCACAACGGGTGGTCAAGGCCGCCAACACATGTGTTGGAAACATCCCCGGTGCATTTCCCCCGGAGTTTGGCAATCATGCTCCCTTTTCAGCTGAAATCTACCAAAGCCTTGCCTTCCGGAAAAAAAAAAAAACTAAAAAAAAAAAACTCTTGATCTACCCTCCCTCCAACAAACCTAGCACCTGGAGGGTACCAAGATGGGTTTCCTCTTGGGGGTATGTTTTTTGCAATCTTGGGAGGGAGGGTAAACTATCTTTCAGGGGCTACTTATTTGCCCCAAGCACCCAAAGGCATGGGGCTTTGGTGGTTTCCGCATCCGGCCAAAACCCACACCTCTCGCTGGGCCAAAGACCCAGAGCTCCGGCTAAGAGGAGCTCCAGGAGAGGCCTTTGAAGGAAACTCAGCCCGACCGGAAAGTGCCGGTTTTCGCGCTTTGGAACGGGCTCCTTGGAAAAACCCACCGAAGTGAACAAGGTTTTGGGACAACAAAGTAGTTGCCTCTGTCCACTTCCATGATTGAAAAGAAGGGCAAGGTGCTGGGGCGGTTTACTGGTCAAGCAAATCCAGCCGAGCTCCGTCCCCCCTCGCTTTTCATTGCGGCAGTGAGCCCTCACCGCAAGCGGTAATGGCAGAAGGCCACAGGTAAGTGCCGCAAGGGGATGCCATTACATGGGTGGGATCCTGAAAAAGGCTTCGGTTCTCCTTTGGTTTCCCTTTAAGCCCCACTAAAAAGGCACTAGAACACTTTCCTGGCAGTTCAGGCTTGCTGTTTGGCAGGTCCTGGGCATCTTTGACTCCAAAGGAATGAAGCTGTCGACCAGCCAACAAACATGTAGACCACCCTACGCGGAGCATGTTAGTTTGTTTGGGGTGCCTCAGTCAAAGGCACATGTGCAACAAGGAAAATCGATGTGCAACCCCGGCAAGCGGCCCTGCGTTTCGACACAGAAACTGCCAACCCTCCATACGATCTACCCGGCAAGTTGTACGTCCTGCACCTCATATTCTCCAAGTCCGATAATGATAGGGGTCCTGCCAGCCATCCTTTTCAGGGCATCGCTGAGAAAAGTCACACGGCCAGGTCTTGCAGCCCGACACCCGGGAGCCCCTGCTGCCCGCTCCGTCAGCCTGGCACACGTCCGCCCTCTTTGGCCCAACTGGGGGAATTTGCGGTCGCTTTGGCCCAGAGCAAACGATTCTTTGCAGCGTTCCGCGTGGTTTCGGCACTGGAAGCTGCGCTGCCGACTCCGCTATTGGGGCCTTTTCTCTGCGGGAATCTGGGAGCCAACAAATGTCACAGCGAGTGCGATCTTGGTCTTTGCCAATGCGCTCTCAAGCACGGATTTTCACTTGCAGTCCGTTGCCCTGCACGGGCTCCTTTCAATGCAGCTACACAAATCTACGTCCCCAAGCAAAACCCAAGCAAAACTCGATTCTGAAATCCAAGCCACCACCTGCTGCAAACCATCCTGCATACGACCAGTAAGAGACCATGAGGCAGAATACCAGCTCCAGACCCGAAATGTCAGTCTTATTCTGGAATCTGCCGCCAGGCGTCCTGCCAAGACATCTGGATGTACCAAGATCCACTGACGCTTCCTTCTACCAACCTGAACAAACACTCACACGAACACAGCTTGGAGTGGCTCTAAAATGAGCAACGTCCTTTTAGGGGACCCCCAAATTAGTGGGTGTCCTTTTGGCTTTCCTTCACACACCATGAAAAAAGGAGTAGCAACTAAAGAAACGCCCCCCCCCCCCCCCCGCAAAAACACTTATATATATATATATATCCTATGCATATCTGCACCTTCTATAAATGAAATATATATATATATATATTAAAAAAAAAACAAAAAAACTCAACGTGTCAAGGCGCATGGTGACTCCATGCGGCTCCCAGCCTCCTCTCCACGGTGACCTGCCAATGGATTGCGAGCCGTAGCAGGTACCCATACCCCCTAGCCTCCTCTCCACGGTGACCTGCCAATGGATTGCGAGCCGTAGCAGGTACCCATACCCCCTACTCTTGCTGAGGCATTTTTTGCGGGAGAATTTGGCTTTCAAACCTGCCTTTTTTTAGTGGAGGGTAGACAACAGACCCTAAAAAACAGCTGTTGGATGTAGGGATTAGGGTTTAGTCGCAACTGGGACCAGGAAACCTGGCCAAGTTCAATAGAGGGATGTGGGTGGGTCCTTTTGGTCTAAAATGGTGCTACAAAAAGGCTCCCCTCAGAAAAACACCCATTCTTGGAAAGAGGGGCGCGTGTTTCCAAACCTCAGTTTGAATTGGCCAAACACACCACGCCATGGTTTGCCGGGCCTTTTACTCCCGAAAGGGAGACGGACCCCCAAAACGGAAACTGGTTCTCCACAGGCTTCCCTTTTTCCAAATCCAAAAGCGGAAGTCCGTCCTTTCCGAAAAAAGGACAGATTCCTCTACCATCCAGGGTCTTTGGGTTCCATGGTTGCAGGAGAGTGATGCCCTGAAGATACCGTCGGCTGTCTTTTTCGCACGGCGATGTGCCTACGGCTACGATGATTCACCCGGAAACAGCTGGACCAAGCGATGCTCAACAAAAACAACTCCGTGTGTGAGATTCTGCGTGCGATACTGGGAAATCGGATTCCTGGTTTCAGTACAGGTTCCCTGGCATCATGGGAAAGCAACCAACCAGCACTTGCAAGCCAAGGTACCTTCCAATCATCTGAGTTACCCTGGACCATTTTTTTCCAATTCGATCCAGTTTCCGTGTCTCCCAATGGCGGTTGGTTCCTGTGGGTGAGCTTGCTGCCACCGGAATGGACATAACTCCCCCTAGCCAATTGTTTGCGGGAGATTTGGTCGGTCCCCATGTCCCTCTCAAATTGACCCTAGTCTACTAAATGCTGAACTTCCTGTAGAAAACACAGCACTAATCTTGATTGTGTAGCCCTCAGTGAGTGTGCTCATAGCCAACTTGGTTGACAGTCGCATATGCCCAAACTCAAACACTTGATCACAATGCCCTCACGGCAAAGAGCCTCACTCTCTCTTCAATTTCCTCTCTCTTCCTCTCGCCTCTTCTCGTCCATGGAAAGGAGCTGCTCCCTTCCATCTCGGACCTGAGCTGTGCCACGTTGAGGTGCCTTACTGATCGTGCCCAGCAACCATGCCTTACGCTGAATCCAAGCACGAGGGCCCTCAGGTGGAAAAGGGCAATAACCAAACCTGCCACAGGCTTCACCTGCTGAAGTTGATGTACTGAGAGTCGTAGATCACCCGAGCTCTCTGAAGCGCTCCATGCTTGTACGTATCTCGGGGGATTCCTGAAGAAGCCCGAAGAAACCATGTTCCATGATGAGTCGCGTGAGGAACAAGGCTTGTAGCTCAATGTCTGAGCGTGAAACAAGTAATAGTATGGAAAACGATAGCAGAGGCTTAACTTCCCTGCAGGTTCTGTGTGTTGAACAGGAGGGTATGGAAGAATAAGCCGCTGGCTGCCCCCCATTGGGTTTGGGAACAAGGCGGAGATTCCTTTCATGCTGCATTGCTGCTGGTTTTCAGAGAGGCCGAACAGTCCATGATCCATCAATCTGCCGGCCTCGGCAAAAGCACCAGCACCTGTTTTGACTAGTGTCACCTTGCTCAAGAGAAACCTGGCGCAAAAGAGGAACCATTCATACATCATGTTCAACCTATGCCATGCTGCCGCATTGGCTTCTCGATCGAAGAATAATTGGAAGGCATCTCGCAACACCTCGCAACATCTCGGAGGACCCTGGTCTTTCCAACCACAAAATGGACGTCGAACAACTAGCTCGGTTTGTGATTGGAAAACAGGGTCCCCAACACATCGCAACACGAGCACCCGTTGTCGAACCGAGAGAACGAAAAATCATAATAAACAAACAAACACAAAAACATGATGCTATGAATTGGCAAAAGTTATCCCGCATCTGACCCTGCCAAAAAAAGGAGCGGGACTCGGGACAGTCCGGCTGAACACGAGGATCTTCAGTTTTCAGTGGAGGGCAGAGTTCCCCTCCGACAGATCCAGCGCCATCTTCCACAAAGACCCAGGAGGCAACACGACGAAATGGATTCGCCTTCTTGGTAAAAATCCGGCATGGCCCCGGCCAAAAGGGAATACCCGCGCTTCTCAGCTACCGAAAACTTCACATGGACATCTATTGAGGTGTTTGTGTGCATGAGTTCCTTTTCAAACGTGTCCTTCAATTCCCATCCGGAGGAGGATGTTGCAAAGTCAAAGAACATGTTGGGCAAGCCGGAGAACTGCCAGAAAAATGCAATGTTCAACATCGCGCCAAAAGGAAACTCAGCCGCCCAAATGGTAAGGTTTCAGCCATCCAAAAAGGTGATAATACGAGCTCTTCTTCTTTGAACACCCTCAAAAGAGCCTGCTCTTACAGCCACAGGGAAGGTGATGTTGCCAAGTTGGAAATTTAGGGGAACTGTGATATCCCATGGAAGCCACACAACAGGCCAAGTCCTTGCGCAAAGTTCTTCGCGGATGCGGCCGGAAGCTGGGCTCCGGAGCTCTCCGAGACCGGCGCCAGGCGGGACTCGGAGCGGCAGGGTGTTGGACACCCCCTATTCACCGACAGGGCAGCTTAGTCCGGGGTCAACATTGGACATGTCTCATCTCCATGACCCTGAGCTTCCAACCCTGGGAAACCAGGGCCCGAAGTTGGCCGAGTCTCCATTTGGAGCCAAGATCAAAATCAAGAAGGGCCCTGGTTTTGCGGGTCCCAAGGGAAGACGGGTTTGCTTCACGGATAAAATGCCCGGGGCACGTTCGATTTCCCAGTGTCCATTGGAAGTGTCTTTTTTCAAATCAAGAGTTGATGAAGTTTAATTGGTGTCCATTGAAACGATCGCCACTGTTCAAGGTTCCAACAAGGGAAATGGAGGAAACCCTGAAATAACCAGCCGGATCAATTGACAAACAAAAAACAGAGCAGAAGATCCAAAAGAGATCAAAGAAAACCCTAGCACTTGGTCATGGGCTTGGCTCAACGAACATGGGTTCACCAAAATCGGTTCGACAACACCAACCAAACATCAAGAAACTGGGTGCCACATCACCCGGATGCCAAGGGAGGGATGCCAGCTTGCGGCTGGATTTGGCCACCGGTGGCTTGGAGAACCCGAATGCAAATGACTTGCCAAAAGCGACCGTCTCAATTTCTTTGGCGAATCTTGAGGCAGCATTTCTGGGCCGCATGTGCGAGACACAGACTTTTCGCTCACCAAAGCAAGCCTATTTGTACGACAGGGCCAGCAAAAATAACACTCGCGCAAACGCTTTCACGCACATTCCAAGCCAGGCAAATCACCATGACACGGCGACGCAAACGCGCAGCCTTCCGAAACACTGCGCCTGTGCAGTGAAACGACACGCAACGTCGCAGAAGCTAAGATTTACGCACTTGCAAAATTTAGCAAGTCACATTCTGAGCCTGCTCTACCGGCACGGCCTTATCGCCACATCGCAGACGGCTGCGGACGGGTGCGAACTCTAGAACAACACGTCGCGAACACGACCTCCACCCCGTGACCCCCACTTGTAAACGGGAACCCTTCGCATTCAGGTAACCACTTGCCACAATGAGCCAAGCTGCAACTCCCTCACTCCAGCGGATCTTGCCGCAACGTCAGGGGATCGAGCCAAGAGAAACAACTGGAAACCCATCCCAGTTGCCTAAAACAAGCCACAAGCCAGGCTCCCATCCATTGGTTTGGTAGAAAGGCGCCGGACACTCAACCACATCAGTCCCCCAATGGCGACTGGACCCCCTCCATCCAAAAGAAACCACTTGCCAAGATGTACTTGTCAAGAAACTGAATGAAATTACAAGAAACAAGGGACCCAGGAAGGAACTGTGTGAGGTCGCAACCCGCTTCGCCAGGGTATGTGACGAGAGGCAGTGTTGCGTCATGTTGATAGCGGCACCTGTAAGTCATCTGTTGGCAGCAGCCCGATTGACTAGTTAAACATGTTAGGGCTCGATTTACTCAGGAGTATTTTTTTCTGGTGATCCTTGATCCTGGATATTGGATAGTGCATACCGTATACCTGCCACTTGGCTAAACAGGGCAAGTCCTATCCAGAATCAACCTGACAACATTAGAAACGATGCCCAAATGCCAAGTTGTGGTGGTTGGTCTTCATTATGATGCTCGATGCAAGATACTTCTGGTACCCTGCCAACTGACATGGAACCCGCAAGGTCTTCTTGAGGGCACAACATGGCTTTCCGCATCTTCCAGTCGGGTTCTTTGGGTAGACCGGTTGGATTGCTGGAAGGCAAATACAAGCGGAATCCGGCATCTGGGTACGTAAGGAGTATATACCATACATACATATATTTCTATATAGGAATATCCACCAAAAGATGGCGCAACAGAAATGCTTCCGGCAGCTCCTAGGTTCCCGATTCGTCCCCTAGACCCTCTCGCTCAACGAGGAATCAAGATCCGAGCTCTTTCAAAACGTGCGATGCAGGATCCTTGCACATTAGATCACCAATGTCAAAACGACGGATGCCTCTAGACCATGGCTTTGGCTTGGAAGAGCTTCGGGCTGGACCAGTGCGATAAGCATCAAGCCATATGGCTTGCCATCTCCGCGTTCAACCAGAAAACTTTACGAGGGACGAAAGAAAGAAACGGTAGGTGGTGAAGAGTAGCGTGCCCTGTGAGGCAACCTTCTACTTGCTTCGGGGGTGCCAATGACATGAGTCATGACATCGGAGCAAACGCCACTGAGGCGGTGGCTGACGATCTCCTCAGGTGCGCGGTGGAATGCGGGGTGTTGCATCGAAGACTCTGAACCGATCTCTACAACATCCAACTATGGGGTCACTCAAGTAAAACAAATGGCAACATGGCAATATGATGTACGGTACTTGGTTACTCCTTAAAGAAACACAAGTTGGCAATGGGCTTGGTATCATAGCAGCAAATGGGCTTGGTATCATTGCCTTCCAGCCGAGATGTATCAACTCCCGGGACCACTTCTCAACTTGCAGGAGCCCTAAACATTTGCCCAAGCAATCCTAGCATTGGAATAGTTCACCAACCCAAACAACCAAGCTTCGCGGGGATTCGGTTGCAACCCCCCCCCCCCCCCAACCAGAAATAAGAAAAGAACAAAGCAAAGCCGTTGTGATTTGCCTCTGCTGGTCGCTACCCTGCAAACAGTTCACCTTCTGCTAGTTGAAAGGGCCAATGAACGAAACCGAAAAGGCCACATGTAAGGGTTGAGCCCCAGGCTTAGGTCACTTTTGTTACTAAGTGACCTAAGTCCGGGGTTCAACCCATGTCCAGTCTTGAGACAGACCCATTTGCTCCAACGGTGACTCAAACTACTCGGTCCACCATTTGCTTTTTGATGGGCTGCCGGGCGACTCTTCCAGCTGCTGCGTAAGCTGCTTCTCCAGAGTGCCTCTCGCGGCTCAAAAAACACAAAACAAAAACACGCGCGCGGGTTTTTGGAGCTCTTTTCATTGGGAACGGTTGCTTTCTCTAGGGGTTGATTCCCCATTCTTTCCAACCATCGTTATTCTCAAAAACCAGCTAATTTTCCCTGGGTTTCTGGAGGTTTTCTAGGAAGAAGGATCCCTGGAAAGAATTGGGAAGGTACCCCTAGACTTGCCGAAAACACATCCAGCGCATGTCGCAAGCACGAGGTTGGCTTCGTCTCCTGTTGCAGTCGAAGATCTCAATGGGTTTCCGATTGGCTCGCGAAACAGGTTCATTACGTTAGCGTTCATCTGGGGTGAGTTCATTTGGATTGGCTATGTTGCCAAAGACACCTTGGAGCGCTTTCATTTACCATGGTTTCTGCTGCGCGGTAATCGAACATGCCAAGAGCGGGAGGCATGATGACCAACAAGGCTGCCTGGGGACACTTCGTCCTAAACCCAATTCGATTTTGCCGGAGGGCGCCTCGTTTCAACATCCAAATGACCGCAACTCATTGGACTTTTCACAGACACACACGGCCTCCAATGCAGCACGGACACTGCAGAATTCAAATCAACCTGCTCCATTCCTGCCTTTGCAGCCAACATATGTGTTTGCATAATGCAACTTGGTGTGATTGAATCAAACTTCGGGTGGCTTCAGAGGAAGATCATGATTGTCGCTAGATTCAGGTTCAGCCATGCGTGTGACGAGATTGATCAGGTCATCTTTCGTGCAGCACAACCTGCACGTTAGACCCTCTACAGAAAACGGTCGTCGAAAAGCAAACTAGAGGGGCTCCGCTTCTAGCCGAACTTCCCCCATTCTTTCCAACCAAGACCCGGTATTAAACTGGTCAACCCAGAACCGTGTAAAGAATCGACAAGTCGGCTGCACCCATTTATGGTTGGGAGTATCCCTGACGTCACCTACCTGGGTTTTGAGCAAGTTGCACAAATGGGGCCTCTCTCCAAAGCACCGGGCGGCCTGCGGGTCGCAAAGGAAGAGGGACAGTCCTCAGGCAATCCCAAAAAAACCTGTGGCTCTGCGCAGCAGCTGGGCTCGGTTTCGGCCTCCCGTTCGCCGCGATCTACCCGGCCAGTTCTTTGACGCTCCGGTGTGAGGCCCCTTCCGAGATACTAGAAAACATCCTCGGATCCCTTGCGCGGAAGCCCAAGCTTTTGGACTAGGGAAAGCCTGGGCACTAGGGCACTAGGGTGGAAGATGTGCAGGCAACAAGGAAACCGGGCTTGGCAGATGTGGAGATGGCATCGATGTCAAGCTACGCAAAGTCCAGAATGGTTCTTGGAAAAAAAATCAGAAGGGGAGTCCGCTTAGAGTGGGTTGGCAGTTCCCACAAAAGAAGCGCACGGAACACGCCAAAAAGCGAGCTCCCGGTTGGGAAACCATGAGGACAGCAACCAGGGATGCGCCTGAGCTCTCATACGCGGGCCCATGGGAACCCTGAAGCAGGAAATCCCAACTTGGTTCCAACTAACTCACTTCCTGACTGGATTGGCCCAAAAAAAGTAAGCAGTTGTCTTATTTACCACCAAAATGGCCTTCCCAAAATGCGTCTTATTCCAAGAACTCAGGACCGGAGAAAATCACTGCACCTGAAGCTCACTTTTGGTTGCCCCAAAAGGTCAAACAGGCAAGCACCCCTGACGAATAGCTGGAGCTGGGGATCCCCACACGGAGCCACCTGCCCGGGTGGCATGACAAAGCTTTGAGTGCCTTTGCCGTAGGAAACATGGCCACGACATCTTCAGACATGGGTGTGGCTCAAATTAAACAGGAGGGGCAAACCGCAGGTGTTGGTCCATGTGTCCGCTTACCAGAGTTCCATTCTGGGTACCGGTTTTTTGAGCCACAGCCACATGACGTGGCCTCAAGATGAGAAATCGCTTGCTTGATCAAGCAAACAACATGGTAAGTTGACGCACAATGGTTAACTGGAGTATTTTGTTTAAACTGTTCACTCATTCATGCCACACGGGAACATTTGGTATGGAAGCTACAGGAGTAAATGTTCCAACCTGTTCGCGTAGTCCCACTTTGCAAATGTGCAACATTTCCTTCCAGCTGTCCAGCTCTTTGCAATCTTCATCCCCTAGTGCAAACGTTCACTCACAATTGCTTCTTTATTTGCTCAGGCCGTTCCGTCCAGAAAACAGTATAGTGGCAAGTTTAGCTCTTGTCATATTAAACTCATGGCAGTTTCGCCACATGTCGTTCTTGATCAACAAGTGTCCTCCAAAGACAGACAAGCGCAAACACGAATCCACTGACCCCGCATGCTAGTAGCAGCATCCAGCCAAAGATAAGGTGCACATGTAACCTACACGAACCTTATGTTTGACGGCTCACCTCTCCTGGGGATATTTTCATGATGCGATCAACTATATTGCCGGGCTGTCCTCAGATCCGCGTAAAGTGACAATCCTTTGGTGGATGACATCTGGCAATCCAACCACTAAACCAACTTGGAAACAAAACACTCCAACAATAACGATTAAAAAAAAAGAAGAAAGTTAAACCAACTTAAAAGCAACTAAACACCTCAGGAACCGGATGGCCTGAAGATGCCTGAAGGAAGCACCAAGCTTTCAGGCCGAACCTTCCCATTCCAGCCACTCGTCTCTCTGAGCTCCCGGGCTCTGGGAGTCGGACAATGCCTATGGCTTTCGAGATTTCGAATCAGCCGCCCGGCTGTGCTGAAAAAAGTTTCTCAAGCAGCTTGACTCAATGCAACATGGCCGGCCAAGGCTTTAGGCATGGAGGTTGCTTGGTTCTGGCCACGAGGGACCCTCCCCACTTTGGCGAGGTTTTCTAACACAAACAATGGTTGATGTGTTGGGGTTTGACTGGTGTAGTTTGTTGAGAGTCTCTGATTTGTGCAAGTAGCGTCGTAGTTGTAGGAAGGATGCTGTCGGCTTAAAGTTGCGAATTCCAGCATGCTGACCGCAAAGGCGTGGCCGATGTCGAGCTTTGTTGGAGCTTTGGGCTAAAGAGTTCATACCAAGAACTTGGGAAGAGTTGTCAAGCTTCTTTCTTCAAACCTTTATCTCTAGTAGGAATACGTTTGGGTGACGATTCTTGGTTCCCCAGCAGCACGTGAAAAAACCACCGCAAATATGTCGCACCTTTGTCTTAAAACACAAGGGACCTCATGGGAGACTTTGGCAATCTTTTGAGTGGATCTACAGCTCCAGCATTCAAAGCCCCCAAAGGCTGGTCCATGCTTTCAACAAAGCAAACTCGGCTAGTGACAGGGCTGGCCTTGACGTGTTCACTGTTCATGCCAATTTCTGTTCCGTATCAAGCCTGGATCGATGCGAACGGAAAAAAACATGTGGTAAATACGGAGGTGTCCAAATGTAGAGGAGATACCATCCCTATTAATCTGCCAGGTTCATTCTGGTGTCATCAAGCTCCCCATTCCACATCTCCGTTTCCTCACAAAAGAATGCGGGATCATATGCGACGCAACACCCTTGTGGGGCCGGCACCTATCTTCAGGTTACGGCGTTGCAGGCATAGAATATTCCCGTGGAGTAGCAAGGCTCGACGTGCGCTGTACTTGGTTGACGTTGGAAGGTTTTTTTTTGCAGTTTAGTGTGAAATCCCCACAATAAGCAAAAATGCACAATGTTTCCCACAACCATGTGTGGAAGACCGGCTTGTCGCACAATCTGAAAACCGCGGACTGCACGCTCCCCACCCAGCCCGACCAAGGACAACCTGTCACTCCCGCGGACGATCGTGCTTTCCTATTTCGCTTTGAACAGCCCAGAGCTGCCAGAAACCATGTCTGCTTCTTGGTAGAACTCGGCTCCAAAGGAAAAGAACTGCCATTCATGCTACATGTCGATCTACCAACATTGCAGTTGCTTTTGGCCAACATGCAGAACCGTTTGCCCCGTAGAATGTGTATGTTGACATAATGTGTTCAGGGCTGCCTTTGAAATTCACTCTTGACCCAAGCGCCAGAATTATGTGATGGATCTCGGCTTATGAGCTGTATGTAAGTCATGTCTTAACAGACAAACTGCTATTTCATGGGCCAGCTGACCGGAGAAACTCCTTGCCTGGTTTCCAGAGGGAGAAGAACACATATCGGTTGTTCGTTCATTCACTTTGTTGACTGATGGATTCCAACCAAAAACTGCCACTTTTGGAGATCCACAAAAGGGGAATGGAGGGACCCCTGACAACCCCAAACCCATTTCTCCCTTTTTCGTGCTGCTTGCCAAGCGACCGACTCCGCGTCCTCGCCGTCCAAGGCTCCCAGCACCTCAGGAAATCAAGAGTTGGGCCTCGTCAAATGGCTGTGGGTCAAAAAATGCTCCAACATGGCACCTTGGAAAAGGGGAACCAAAGACTAAAACCTGCGTAACCGCAGCTGTTTAATTTTGAGCCACACCCAAATCAGTTGGACATGAATCCCGAATCCTAGCACGCCAACATGGATGCGCAAGTCGTTCCTTGATCTGCGTGGAGGCAACATCAACTCGTGAGGCAATACTCTCGGTCAAATCGAAAGGGCTGAGCAAGCAAGCCAAAAAAGTGAAGTTGGCCAAAAAAAATGCCAAGTTGACTCGCCTGAGCGCAACACATCAGCAACTTCCTCCTTAGAGTCCTCCAGTTTATCTTGAACAACTCTGGCAGCTGCATGGACGAGGAGCCCGCATAAGCGACTTGTGTGGAAAAGCACTTGGAGGGAAGCACAAGCTTGTCATGCTTGCTGACTGCCGCGTAATCTAAAGGGGACTGTGTTCAGAGTCGCCCACCCTGAGCTGGATACCTGGCTTCAGGCACTCTCATGAAACCCAAGAAACCCAAGACTTGTTTCAACTGAGGTTTTGGTCATCTTTCGAGGACGTGAGTGCCCCGTTAAATAGTCCGAGACTCTCAAACCCAACTGAGACCAAGCAGCGGGTTTTAGCAAATTCAAAGCCAAAGTGGGACCGTGGCCTAAAATTTGGGACCGCGCCTGGTGCACCGAGCTAGCGATGACGTTGAGCTTGTCTTTCAGGCCCTGCCTCAACTGCTCCTTCCTCGAGAAGAGCCGCGGAAAAATTGCGGCTTCAAGCAAAAAGCAAGGCGATAGGCGGCCACGGTTTCTATTTGGGGGTTGATCAATATTCCGTTCAGCCCCCAAATGGTTTCTTGTCCCATGTAGTGGGACGAATAATCTTAGTGGTTTTCCCCACTGAGTCATCCCGTGCAAAGGACCTGTTGATCAACCCCCATTTAGCTGGCGGACAACATAGGGCTCCAAAAAAAGAGTGCAGACTCCCTTTTTGCAGGTCGGACTCTCTGTGCAAAAGCTTAACCTTGGGATGGCAGCGACAGCTTTCTAAGCGATCGCCTTCTGGGCGACGGTGCGATATGTTGTTGTTGACCGGTGGGGTGGTCACAAAGTGAATATCACAGGCATCTTAAAGCCCTCCTGCCTCCCGTTTTTGGCAGAGTCGAGCAAACCTCATGAAACGCCCACTCCCACTTGCCAGCTGAGCAAATCCTTTTCTTCATTGGCCTTAGCCTTGCTTTGGTCGATGGGCAATGCTGGTTAAGCCCAGACTAAATCCGCGCCAAAAGTACTCTCAACGCATCCTAAATCAAGCCTTAACCCACCAAATCCACCCTGCAATACCCTGTGCAAGTCCAGACACACCCAAAACCAGCCTTAAACAAGCCAAAAGCAAAGCTTACAATGTCTGCATTCACATTCAGTTGACCCGACTGAACCAAACTCAACCCCAAAATCAACCCTAAACCCAAAACCACAGCGCTGCCCCGAGTATATATGCCAGCAACGCCATGGGATCGCCCTGAGTTGAACCCCAGACAGCAGTTGCATCGATCCGCAAAAACAGCCAAGTACCAGTATATAGGTACCCATGATAGCTTTGTACCATTTCCGTACCCATTGTGTCCAAAGCCATGGGTTTGTCTGCAAGTTGGGGAACAAATCCGGGTGGTTCCTCCCCTAAAAAAAGACACACCCATATGAGGCCACCATCAAGTATTCGGCTACCGGAAAAAATTGGGTTCGTCCTCTGCTTTTTGTGAGGAACTCAGAGCTCGCCTTCCCCCGTTGCCAATGGACCTTAGACAACCTGCGATCTTGTGGGAACCTCAGTTCAGAAACTCTACACGGGTGTGTCTTTTTAAAGGTTGGACCCCAAAAATAGTGGTTTCCGCTCTTGGTTTCCCTTTAAAGACTACGAACAAGTGGATTCCTTTTGGTTTCCTTGTGGTTTCCCTCAAGACAAGACACAAACAAAGTATTCCTTGTAGCCAAACCCTGGGGCCGTCCTTGGCGTCGAAGTATTGCCCGGCGAAAGACCAGACACCACCTAGGCGGGCGCCATGTTGTCCCTAGGTTTCCGGGTTCACACAGTTTACGCTGGGCCGTGTACTAAAATATGTCATGCACCAAACTTTGAGGAAATGCCTACCAAACATGCACCAAGAAACCTGAAGCATGGCCTGGAGCGATTCTCTTCTTTGATCCAGCTGTGGATCCTTTGCGGCTTTTTGCTGTACCATGAACATCTGTGCTCGGAACCCCGTGATGGAGAGGTGACCCAAAAAACATGAGGGCAGGGATGACAGGGATGCTTCAGGCTTCATTCGGGGTCCCGAGTCCCAGTATTTCTCAGAGCTGCTATGAGGGAAAAAAACAAGGAGTCATGCGTGATAAGCATGCGATGTCTGCCGCTCTGTTGTTCCCCTCTGCCCCTGAATGAACAGCACCAATTGTCTTTCCTGCAGACCCCGAAGCTCCTGCTGCCCACAAATTCACCGGTAAAATGTGGGCTCGCAGCTCTACGTTTGTTAGCTCTACAAAGCTTGCTTTGCCAGGGAGATACTTCCCCCGTGTTTGTGAGCACTTGGACCATGAATTTCGCTGGAAGACAAAACAAAACCCAGCCCCCTGAGCCTCCCCTTGTGAGAGGACCATTTCGTTTCGCGTCCAATCAAATTGCTGTCTAAGAACTCCATTGAGGAGAAGCAGAATTGAGGGTTGTGCCGCCAACCCAAACATTCTGCGTAGCAGGGGTTTTGACGAGAAGTCTCTGCGGTTTCCTCTGTCCTCTCCCCTCACGTGCACGGGAAGATTTTCGGTTCAGGAGCAAACCCCCAAACAAAACCTCCTTGCACAAAATGGTGCAGTCTCTTTGCCAAGCAAAAACCCGCCTCTCAGCGCCTTTGCTTGCAAAAGAAGCCCCTGGCGTCTATTCAGCTTCCCCCCAATTGGTTATTTGGATTGGTGGTTTGGGGATTCGAACCCCTAGTTCTTGTTGAGGGTGCTTGCTCTCGCCATTTCTCACCCCACTCGGGCCCCACCTTGGACAAGGTGCTGAGCCAATTCGAGGCGCTGCTCACCTCGAGCCGATGGCCCCTTTTGGTCCACAAGGAAGCTTGGGGCTCAGGCGGGCCACCAGGAAATTCATGGTTGTGCCTGGAGTCTCCTTCAGACCTTTAAAAATGGGTCCATGACCCCCATTTTGGGGTAGCGAGCCCATTTTCTAAGGGTCATGAAGACTCCAGGTGGTTCTTTTCACCTCGGGCCGGTGGCTGGAGGTCAGGGAAGTTGAGGCCGGGGTTCAGGGGCCCTTACATCATGGTTGGCCTCGTATGGCCGCCATTCTCTTACCCTTCAGGATTGTCATCATCCAAATTGGGTCAACCTTTTTTCATGGGGGTTGATTGAACCTTAAGGCTCCTTTTGCTCGAATGGACAAATCTGAAAGGTCCCGTGCTCCATGAGAATTTGGAAAAAGAAACGCATCAGGCTACCAGCCTAGTGTTGCAGTCTGCTGATACACGGACTTCTCGATTCAATGCCATTGATGTGAAGCGAGATTTTCAGGTAGCATGTGGAAAACATGGCAAAACAAGGGGCCACTTGTCAGTCCAAGTTCCGGTGTTTCAATTGCCTTCGGCTGTTTCATCCTAGGCTTTACAGCTTTCGCCAGCGAACACCGCCTCTGTCTGGCCATTGTGGATCTTGGTTGGCCACCCAACTCAGACAGAAAACTTGCAGCCCTCAGGAACAGCCACAACACGTGCTGGCTGAATGCTTCCGCAAGGCGAATGCCTATTTGCAGCCTTTTGGGGTGTTTTTCGTAAGCCGCTTAGGGAAGGCTAAAGGGGCTCCGTTCCATTGGGACCCTTTCAGTTTGAACAAGCCTGAGTCTGGCTACGACAAAACTATGGCTCCGGCATCAGGATCCGTCATGGACCTGTCGGCTGCGCTGCTTCAGCGATGGACGCTCCTCAAACTGGCTACTCGATGGGGTCCTTAGTGGATGCATGTTCATGGAAGAAAGTGACAAGTCTGTGCAACGTTCAAATGCTCAATCACAACTTGAAGTTGTCACCCCTTGTGCGTGCCAACAGGGGCGAATAGTACCGGACGAAATTGTATTTATACGCACTTTGGCTTGTTACGTAGCTCTCTGGCCTGGAACAACATTGCCAAAAGCCTTTTTGCAAGCGCGGCAAAGCAAACATTCCTTCGAGCTGCTGCCTTCACGTCGGTACAGGGCTCTCAAGGTCGGGTTCTTGATCCCAGGCTCGGGGGCATGGCCATGGGAGCCTATGCCACGCCGGGTGTGACAGAACTGCGGGAAAGCCGAGAGAGCCTGCGTGTTGCCTTCCCGCCCAAGCGTGCTTTGCGTCTGAATGCGTACAGCCAAACCTTGACAGGCTCGGGAACCGCGGGCACAGAACTAGTTCGATCTTGTAAGGCAACTTCCCTGTCAAAAGTCCAGCTCGGCTTAGCAACAAGGCTTGACCCGGATATGCGAGCTCTCACCAACGAGAAAAGGGCTATGACCAACTAACAAACCTCACCAAAGCACACACTTCATTAAAAAAAGAAAGAGGATATTTCATCATGCATGCGTCCCTGCAACAGGTGCAACGTTGCATCAAACGTCGCCCTCGGAGGCCCCCCTCTCAAGCATGCGCGTGTCTGAGAAGGGGTCAGAAGTCGGATGCGGCGAAACATGCAACATTTGGATGCATCGCACTACTTCAAGATATTCATGTCGCATTCCTCACAAAGCAATGGGATCCATCCAATCAGTCTTGGGCTTTGACGGGATCGATGGCTCACTGCATGGTCAAGGAATCCAAGGACCGGGGAGTAGTCGCTTCCGCATCGACACGGATACCCACCTGGTCTTCCCTGTGTCTGTAGTGGACCTAGGCTCATAGACGAATTTGGGGAGGATTGACTGCTCTTTGCTTTGATTATTTGCTCTTAAAGAAACCCAAAAAGTATCTCCAGACTCAGATCACCTTCAAGCTTGGCCTAGCAACCTCAGGGAACACTTTCAGGCAACGGCCTGAAGTAAACCAGTTGCACAGAGTGCGTTCCCCCTGAAATGGAACCAAATCCATCGAAACCAGTGCCATCTATTTCTAACCAAACTACACTAAGGCCACCAATGCGGAAGTTGACCCCAATTTCTCCACGGTGTTAGCGCGACCCGAGCATAACCTACCAGTGCTTTCGATAGACGGGCTTCTTGCAGGGCAACATTTAAACCAAAATACACGAACTCAAACAATTGGCCAGAATTGGCCTAAGCCCAAAATAGGACGCTGAAAACATGTTGGCATGGAAATGGAGTCTTCGATGGGCATCATTAGTTTTTTTTGCACCCACCCGATTCTGAAAGCCCAGGGGTTTCACTACCAAAAAAACATAGCCGCTAGCCACATTGCCCGAAAGCATAGTCACCCTGCATGAAGCAGGATCATGTCAGTAGAAGCTGACTATCAGCTGGGAGCAGCATGGGTTGCGCCCCCACGTAAAAAAAAATCCTCCACGTCTGAGAGCAAGGAGTTCAGAAGAGATTGTTCCTTCCCAATGTAGATCTATTACGTCTATTCTGGCTGCAAGAAAGGGACCGCATCAAGTGGAATGTGGACGGGAGCCCGTCTGCGCTCTTAATTTCTCTGGTGTTCAGAAGGTCTCTGCATCTGCGCTCCATGTTCTGATTGGTGCGCACTCATTCCCAAAACACTCACATGAGTCACAATCAAAACCCGGTATTAAAATAGTCTACCCAGAACCATGAAAAGAACTAAGAAGGCGGCCGCAGCTATTTCTGGCTGGGACTGCCCCTTACTAACCTTCATCTACCCGGGTTTTGATTGTGGCTCACATGGAACCTGGCAGGTCCCTTTAAAAGGAACATGGAACATGGTCTTAGCCCCGAAACCTCGGGATGCCTGCTGCCAGGTCGACCAGCCTCTCCCCAGAATGCCAGCCCGGCTCGACCTCCCGGAAAAACGAGGATGCCCAACAGCCCCACCCCCGCTGGAACCGACTCTCCTTTCGAAGCCTCCCTGAAAGCTGGCCCCAAATCACCCCAGAGCCCATGGGCAGAAAAAAAAAAGAGACATAGCAGAAAAAGCCGTGAACTAGCCAAGCGACCGAGTCAACACCTCGAAACCCATGGTGTATGTGACCCGCCCATCGAACTGCAGGTCAAGTAACTGGACCGATCCAAACGTGCTATCCACGATCTTTCGTCTCAAAATGCAGTCCAATCAAGGGCACTGGGGCCGTGGCTCACTGTCCACATCATGTCCACCCTGGCTTCCGGTGGATCTTCCATAGCTAACTTCGAACCCTTCCAGACGGGGTTCTTCTCATGTGCCGAAAGAAGCAATTTCACCAATCCAGAGTTTCACCCACAAACTCCTCTCTCAAAGCGGACGACCTTCAACTAAGTGGCTCTACTCATGCTGTGTGGTGACCATAATTTCGTAGTTGGCGGGGTACATTTCAACATGGCACCACTGTCGTTCTTTCACTTTCCCACGTCCATATTCTTGCCCGGGATTGCTGAGCAAAGAGGTTGCGCGTGGAATGCTGCTTGCAGGGTAAGGCCACCTACTACAGAGATTGATGTCATTTATCTTCTTGCTCCAGTCGAACACGCAAGCGGAAAGAAAAGCATTCTAGTTTCAAAGCGGGATGTATCTTCCTGCCAGCTGGTACGGGGGAGGAAAAAAACACAGTGCCTCAAGAACTTCATGCTGAACCCAGGTACTTGGCCGTAATCGCAAACACTGAAATCAATGCAATGGGTCTCAGTCAGAACTGCCTTTGCCCGACTGGAACATGTCTGTGTAAACCGTGGGCACAAGGGAAAAGACTGCGCACAGGACCTCATGTGCTTCCGTGTGCATTGGTGGGAAGGTCACATGACTGCGACCGTTCTTCTGTCTAATCAACAAAAGAAACGATGCAACAAATGGATGTGGACAGGTCCGATCGGGATCCCCGTGGGTCGGTGATGCTCTGACCGCCACGTCCCACAACCTGGAGGGGTAAACAATCCAAACGCGGGATGGGACATGGAGCATGACTTCAAAACCATGATATGTGCGATTGAATGCCTGACAGAATTACCCCGGAATACCGATCGGTGACAATTTTCAACCTGTATCCCCAATCTGCAAAACTGATGGGCAGCTGCAAGAAAGCGATGCCCAGTACTGCAATATTGTCCATTGCTCATGCCCTTGCGGAAAGGTGGTCTCTTTTAGTCTTGAACAGGGACGCCGAAAGGAAACCAACATCGTGTTTGGGGTCCCCGACGTTGACACATGACATGAGCGGAGTCTTTGCGCTAGGAGTGCCATTCTCCTGAAATGCTTCATTCCTGGAATTCAGCGAACGTCCCCAGGATCACAAGTTGGAGTGCTTTTCCGAAGCAAAACATCTCATTTTTGTGCAGGAACCCCGAGTTGGCGGCTTGGAGTGTTGATTTGGATTTGGACTTGAACCCCTGGTTCTTGTAGAGGGTAAATAGAAAAACACCGCCTCACCGCCTCACCTGCAATTAGTGGCTTGGAATGGGCTTTCTGTGCATCCTCCGCCTCCCCAGCTACGCGCCTTTGTTCCCCCCTTGTCCTGAAGCACAGCACTGCCCTCTTGAGAGGGCGCTCGTAAACCAGACCCCAAAAAAGAAGATACAAATAAGATGCGTAGTGTGTGGGTGCGTGTGCGTGTGCGTGTGCGTGTGCGTGTGCGTGTGCGTGTGCGTGTGCGTGTGCGTGTGCGTGTGCGTGTGCGTGTGCGTGTGCGTGTGCGTGTGCGTGGGCGTGCGCGTGCGCGTGCGCGTGCGCGTGCGCGTGTGCGTGTGCGCGTGCGCGTGCGCGTGCGCGTGCGCGTGCGCGTGTGCGCGTGTGCGTGGCGTGTGCGTGTGCGTGTGCGTGTGCGTGTGCGTGTGCGTGTGCGTGTGCGTGTGCGTGCGTGTTCGTGTTGTGTGCGTGTGCGTGTGCGTGTGCGTGGCGCGCGCGCGTGCGCGGGGTGCGCGGGTGCGCTGCGCGGTGCGCGGGTGCGCGGTCGCGCGGTGCGCGGGTGCGCGGTGCGCGGGTGCGCGGTGCGCGGGTGTGCGCGGGTGCGCGGTGTGCGCGGTGCGCGGGCGCGCGGGTTGCGCGGGTGGTGCGCGCGCGTGACGGCACGCACGCACGCACGGCACGCACGCACGCACGCACGCACGCACGCACGCACGCTCGCGGGTGCGCGGGGGCGCGGGTGCGCGGGTGCGGCGGTGCGCGGTTGCGCGGTGCGCGGAGTGCGCGGTGCGCGGGTGCGCGGGTGCGCGGGCGCGCGGTGCGCGCGGGCGTGCGTGCGTGCGTGCGGGCGTGCGGGCGGGCGGCGGGCGGGCTGGCGGGCGGCGGGCGGGCGGGCGGGCATGCGGGCGGCGGCGGCCGGGCGGGCGGCGGGCGTGCGTGCGTGCGTGCGTGCGTGCGTGCGTGTGTGTGTGTGGGTGTGTGCGTGTGCGTGTGTGCGTGGGTGCGTCTGTGGGCGTCTGTGGGCGTGTGTGGGCGTGTGTGGGCGTGTGTGGGCGTGTGTGGGCGTGGGCATGTGGGCGTGTGAGTGCGCGTGGGCGTGTGGGTGTGTGGGCGTGTGGGCGTGTGGGCGTGTGTGCGTGCGCGTGCGCGTGCGCGTGCAGGCGCGTGCGCGTGTGCGCGCGTGCGTGCGTGCGTGCTTGCGGGCGTGCGTGGGTGCGTGGGTGCGTGTGCGTGCGTGCCTGCGTGGGTGCGTGTGTGTGTGTGTGCACTCGTTTCATGGCCATAGTTACAAGCTCGAGAAAAACACACCTTTATCAGTATATATATATATATGTGCGTGTGCGTGTGCGTGTGCGTGTGCGTGTGCGTGTGCGTGTGCGTGCGCGTGCGCGTGTGCGTGTGCGTGTGCGTGTGCGTGTGCGTGTGCGTGTGCGTGTGCGTGCGCGTGCGCGTGCGCGTGCGCGTGCGCGTGCGCGTGCGCGTGCGCGTGCGCGTGCGCGTGCGCGTGCGCGTGCGCGTGTGCGCACGCGCGCTGGGTGGGTGGGTGTGTGTGTGTGAACCGTCCTGGAGCACGGACGCAAAACTTTAAGCAGCAGGGGGACTGGGGCCGATTTGCCTATCCAGTCCAATGAAGCTACGGCATTTCGGTGGATACCGGATCTGATCAATCAGGCGTACCTGCCTATTTCCTGACCCTCTTTCCTGATTCCTTTTGCGGTTTCTGTTTGTCGCTGTTGCTTCCTGTTCGGTGTCGATGTTGTGACCTGTTGATTTGCATTTGCATTCAAGCATTTTTACTGACTGCGTTTTTCATCTCGGCTAGTGAAGCCTCTCGAGATAAGTGTGTTTACCCACGGCCTGTCCGACATGGCGCTGTGGGCTGGACTCGCCACATGCGGGAGCCCCCTGCGAGGGGAAGACCGTTCATTCGTTCAAACTCAAGCCGCAGTTCAGCGCGATTGACCATGGTCAAGGCAGCAATTTTGCAGGTGAGGTACTGCCATTCGCATTGCTTGTTGCACCTGTCGCATTGCCTGCACCTTGAGCAAGGCAGCAACCATGAGGTTTCGGCTAGGCTGCCGCATGTGCAAGGGACAGGTCGGTCAAACACCGACTTTGCAGTTCATCGGTTTACGCTCTGCACTGACTCTGATCAGTTCAATTCACTTTCACGTTCAAGCGACACCTGCATTGACATGAGTTGGACCGACAAGGCAGCTTTTTTCAGGCACAGGTCATGTGTGAATCAGCTGCTAAAGACTTTCCCGCACAGTCGAAGATTGCAAGACTCAATGGGCCTTGCATAAGTGAGCTCGCCCCACTCGGGGCCTTGTGTGTGCGAACCGTCCTGGAGCACGGACGCAAAACTTTAAGCAGCAGGGGGACTGGAGCCGATTTGCCTATCCAGTCCAATGAAGCTACGGCATTTCGGTGGATACCGGATCTGATCAATCCGGCGTACCTGCCTATTTCCTGACCCTCTTTCCTGATTCCTTTTGCGGTTTCTGTTTGTCGCTGTTGCTTCCTGTTCGGTGTCGATGTTGTGACCTGTTGATTTGCATTTGCATTCAAGCATTTTTACTGACTGCGTTTTTCATCTCGGCTAGTGAAGCCTCTCGAGATAAGTGTGTGTGTGTGTGTGTGTGTGTGTGTGTGTGTGTGTGTGTGTGTGTGTGTGTGTGTGTGTGTGTGTGTGTGTGTGTGTGTGTGTGTGTGTGTGTGTGTGTGTGTGTGTGTGTGTGTGTGTGTGTGTGTGTGTGTGTGTGTGTGTGTGTGTGTGTGTGTGTGTGTGTGTGTGTGTGTGTGTGTGTGTGTGTGTGTGTGTGTGTGTGTGTGTGTGTGTGTGTGTGTGTGTGTGTGTGTGTGTGTGTGTGTGTGTGTGTGTGTGTGTGTGTGTGTGTGTGTGTGTGTGTGTGTGTGTGTGTGTGTGTGTGTGTGTGTGTGTGTGTGTGTGTGTGTGTGTGTGTGTGTGTGTGTGTGTGTGTGTGTGTGTGTGTGTGTGTGTGTGTGTGTGTGTGTGTGTGTGTGTGTGTGTGTGTGTGTGTGTGTGTGTGTGTGTGTGTGTGTGTGTGTGTGTGTGTGTGTGTGTGTGTGTGTGCGTGTCTTGATCCATCTGGCCTGATTGCTCTACCTTGGAGCTTCGAGCTATTTGTGCCTTGATCCTTTATCAGTATATGTGTGTGTATGCTGGTGTGTGTGCGTCTTGCTCCATCTGGCGATTGCTTTACCTTGGAGCTTCGAGCGATTTGTGCCTTGATTCTTTATGCGTGGATCCCTCTGACTTGGTCCACTATGTCTTGATTGGCATGCAGGGGGGCAAGACAGTGTTGGATATCCTGCAGAACCTCACGTGAGATCCTGCCTATTGCAATGAATTGTGCTTCCTCCAAATGGTTGGCTGCCTTGCGCATTCCTTTGAACAAGCAACCAAATGGGGGTTACACACTGAAACATCACATGTACGTAGCAAGCGCTGAGATGGTTTCAGATGTTTCAGAACCTCTGCGAGACCTGACCTTTTGCTTGGTGTGCCTTCTGCTTCGTGTGACTTCGTTGACGGATGTGCCAAGCGACATGTCAATGTGAACAAACAGCACTCTTATCGTGCCCAACAACCCCGCCAGCTCCCCGTCAATGGCGTTCCAACATCGAACCTAAGTCAGACCTACAAGACTCATGGGCAGAACAACTGTGCCAGGTAAACTTGCAAACATGTTTAGCTTCAATTGACAAACACCGCGAGGCTCTTTGCTCCAACCTTCGCACATCATCAATTTAAGGCACACTTTTTTGGGATCACGACAGGGTCGGTCTCCACAGAGCCAATAGGTGGCCATGCTGATCTTGGTTCCATGTGCGAGAGGACCCTTCATTCATGTTGAACCCTCAGATAAAGCAGCAAAACGTTGGCAGGATCATTCATTTTCCGAGAGCACCCCACTTGCGCTTCCCAACTCCGTACACCGAATAAAAAAAATCCGACATGCCCTCCCTATGAAATCCTCCTTCGGCCTCTGGCGTCGTGTGTCCCCCAGAAGGTCTTAACGGTTTTTTTTTGGTTTCCCCTTTAGCCCAACGTGGCCCGAATCCAACTTTCGCAAAAACAAAAACACCGATTTGCTAGCTTCTGAACTTCTTTTCTCAAGTCACTGAAGAGGGCAGCCTAGTGTTGCAACAGTGATTGGGAGAGCTCGGGTGATCGCCTCATGACTTGTGTTGCTTCACCATACCTTCTCACCACAAGCAGAGCCATTGTTGTTGGTAACAACTGTTGCAAGCTCCGGTTCCCTACGCAGGCCAGAAGGTGATGTCATCGGCCAAACGGCATACGACTCAGCTACACATCAACGTTGGTTCCAACTGCCCATTTTCGGGCGACCAGACAAACCCATGCTGCCTCCAGCGCCTTCACGCGCGGCTCCAGGCGTGCCAGTGCCAGCTGAGACAGCTCGACCTAAGTGTGTCACACCCAGCCTGCAATTAATCCCAGGGCTCACAGGGGTCCCAAATCGAGTCTCCTCCAAAGACGTTGGCTTTTGCGGCATGTCAAACTGCCAGGGAGTAAAATGAGTTTGCCAACGCTGCGCACACTTCAAAGGGGTGGTTCTTGCTTTAGACATCCATGTATCGCAAGACGACTCTGCCATGGCAACCTTCATCCGAATCGGTTTTACTTCTGGCTGAAGTCACGGTTCTCGCACTCCACGGGCACGATTTCGAACGCAATGTGGCTTCAGCTTCCCTCAAATTGGTCGTTCGGAGGGGCGGCTTGCCACGTATTCACACGCAGGAGCCAGGAAATCCAAATCCAAGCCAATCGAAACTTCCAACGGGGGGAGTAACCTGAAGATAGGCCGCTGCCTCCCGGGAGCCGCCCTTTTTCCCCGACAGATCCCAAGAAACCTCACCTAGACTCCGTGTTCAGCTATAAACATAACATGCATGTGCGCGATCTGCGCTGTTCAACGTCATGGCTCGGGCGGGCCAAAAGGCCCGAAATGAAGTCACAAGAAACTGACTTGGTCCGTCACCAAACATGCCTGCAATTCAAAAAACAAATATAAACATAAAAGTTGACTTCCTTGGAATATCCACCAAAATGTCTTCAACTTGCATAGCCACCCCGATCGGCCAAATGGGTCCCCGCCTGCATGGTTTCCAGCTGGCCGACGAAGTTAGACATCATGCTCCTCAGGCGCTTCATGTCGTTGCCCACGTTCACCTCCGGTTTGCGGATTTGAAAGAGGGCTTACCCGCAAACCGCCAAGCCAAGGAAGATATAACTCCTAGTGTATGAAGGGTATCTACAGTGCCCGCAGACACAACCGGGTTCGCAAAGGGAAAGCACAGCAGAAAGAATCATGTTATTTTGCATGGATTGTAAAGCCAAGTGGAAATCACGTTAGCCCCTTTCTTGCCTGTCTGCCCGCATGTCCATCGGCTACACGTAAGAGTCCAGTCAGCAAAGGCGGTGCAAGTGGAAACCTCACTGACCCAATCAATGGACTGGGCCATATTCGCATATCTGAAAATCTCGGAGCTGGCTACACCGATCCCCATCGCCTGAAAGCAATTCATCGAAAAGAAGGACTTTGCCTTGGCAACCAAACGGGCAATGCTTCATCCCACCAAGAGAACACAAAAGGGAGCCAGAACGTAGGGAGGAGGCTGCCCTGCATAAGTCCCTTGGCACCCATAGCTCAGAAGCCTGAGAGGTATGCGAGCCTTGCCAAGGACACGTGGTGTTGGCAAAGATGCCACTGAACAAGTGGCAACATGTTCGGTAGAACAACAGCATGTTTTTTAGTCCATGTCTCTCGCGCCTTCCCGAACAGGCCCGGCTTCCCGCCCGATCGACCAAGACTTGCGGGCAGTCAAACACACTCAACAAGGCAAGGAGGGCACAAACAAAAGATGCACACACACACACATCAACAATTGAAGCAATCACCAACTTCCACAAGAATCCAGAAATCCGAAGATGCACGTCAATGGAAAACAAAGGCCGCCGTGGTGCATCTTCCTGCTCACACGAAAACACCGATCTGAAGCACACGGTTTGCTTCAGATAAGACATTTATCATATATTGAGTGAATCATGTCTCGCCAACCCCAAATGTTCGGATTCTCCCGAACCTTCCTGGGTGAGCTCGCAAACCTTCAACTCCATTTGAAGTTGCTCAGAAAGCAACTCATGCGGTACCACTATCTGCATGGCATGCTCCCCTAGTGAATTTACGCGGGGGTATCTTTTTTTGAAAGGGAAACCCAAGATGGTGATTGTCCTTTGGTTTCCCATTCAAAGCACACAAAATGGTACCCTCAAAAGAAGATCTTTGCAGCTGCACATTTGGACTTGGCAAGGGAATCCGAAAATCCATTTCCAACAGCACTGCAACATAGGTGATGCAACATGGTTCTGGTAAACAATCTAAACCACCATAGATGTTTAACCAAACCCAAGGACACCTATGGACACTGCAAACGTCGCCCCCTAAGTGGCTTAAGGGGAACCACCAACCAGTGTCTGACTTTGAGAACCATAACCTCTGGAAGCAGAAAACACAACACTTGCTGGTACAGAAGGGAATGAGCTGGAAAGACCCCAAAATCCTTAAGGGAATCCCCTTCCGGTTTGTTCCCAAAACCCGGAAGGGGGTCATTCTCTGAGCACCAGCAAGCAATGCTTGGCTTGGTTTGAAGAGCAATCAAAAGGACAACCACTTTAGGGGTCCTGTTTGAAGACAAACTGAGAAACCAAAGTCACTAAATTTTCCCCTCAAAACTAAGTTTCAATTTACTGGTGGTTGAACCGATCGCCACTTTGGAGGTTCCAAAAAAGAACAATCCAAAAACCATTTTCAGGAGTGTGTCAATCTTGACCTTTCCGGGTTTTGGCAATGAACTATTTGGGGATCCCGTTAAAGGAAACCAAATCGGGGATGGTGTTTTTTGGGGCCATGTCATTTCTCATTCCCTGCCTATCGAACCAGCCAAAACATTGTTTGTTGGTATTTGCAGGGGAATCGAATCATTCCAGGTTTTGTTTGGTGCGAACTGGACTTTGGCCGTCCACAGTATGTCAAAAAGCACACCCAATTGATCTGCAAATGCTACAATATGTCCAAAACCTGAATTAAGGGATCCCCAAGTAAAGGATCTGTCCCATGGTGAGCTCGCTAGCTCGCCCCCCGAAACAATCAGAGAAAATACCTCCAGTGAAATCGTATCCCTTTAAAACCAAGTTGGAAAAACCTTCAAGATATGTCCCGCAAATGGATGGACATCAAACAAAAATCCGCCTGGGACCTTCACGCTCAAAGCATCGCCTCCACCGCGGCCATTCGCTGCGCCGAGGACTTCTCCGAGGCCTCCGCCTGAAAAAAAACGCGGAGGGAAGGAGCCTTGGGATTCACCAAAGGCAACCCAAAAGGACGGGCGGCTTTTTCTGCTCCATGTCTCAGCTTTTCTCTAGGGCTACCGTTTCTGAGTTTGTCTGGGGTTCCATGTCTGTTCGGATGGGTCGTGCTTTGCGTTTCTGTTTGGTGGAGATGTGTTTTAGGAATTGATTTGGAGCCCCAATTCAATTTGTTTGCTCTCCTGTTAACCAAAAAACACAGGGCAAAAGGGGGGGGGGTCCCCCTAAAAAAAGACATACTAAACACCAAGCAAAAGAAGGGTACCCTCAAAAAAAGGAGCCACACGCCCATATCCCCCAACAAAAACCAGAAAAAACACATACGGAACCTCTTTTGGAAGGACCCGGAGGCGTCTACCGGAGGCGTTCTTTCGAGCCTCGGAGCGGAGCTCTCGTGCGAGGGCATCCACTCGGCGAAGGCCTGCCTCGAGATGGATGGGATCTCCCGGCGGACAGAGGTGGGTTGTTCCAGCGGTTTCCCAGCGTCTTCGCTTTCTGCTTTAGGGCCAACAGCGGGGGGCGGGGGGGGGGGGGGGGGGGGGGGGGGGGGGGGGCGGGGCGGGGGGGGGGGGGGGGGGGGGGGGGGGGGGGGGGGGGGGGGGGGGGGGGGGGGGGGGCGGGGCGGGGGGGGGGGGGGGGGGGGGTGGGGGGGGGGGGGGGGGGGGGGGGGGGGGGGGGGGGGGGGGGGGGGGGGGGGGGGGGGGGGGGGGGGGGGGGGGGGGGGGGGGGGGGGGGGGGGGGGGGGGGGGGGGGGGGGGGGGGGGGGAAAAAATGAAGAAGTAGGGGGCCTGGGGGGTGCCTGTTGATGGTTGCCTGTTCTGGTTTTTATGTTCATCTCAAATCTGTGTTCCCCCTTATTCGTTTTTAAAAGAGGGTTTTTAGGGAGCTTATTTATCGTTTTCGTTAAGGTAATCATTTGGTAATTGCCCCCCTTGTTCATTGTTGGGCTGGGGGCCGACATTTTTTTCATTTGAAAGAGGTAGCCCTTTTAGTAGTTATCAAGTTCTGGGGTGTTGGTGGTGTATTTGTTTTGTTAGTGTTTTTCTCACTAATTTTCATTTATAGGTTAAAAGTTCAGTATAATTATAACATATAAGATTTTACATGTTATTATTATATTATGATTATAATTTCAGTTCAGGATAATAATCTAATTGGTTTGTCTTACTTCTTTCATACATCATTTTAAAAATAATATTAACATCTCTCACTGTATTCTGAACATTAAACTTTTTACTTTCAATAAATAATTTGATATTTTCTTTAACATCTTCTCCTTTCTCTTGACTATAACCCAACATCCATAATATATCGTAAATCGTGTCATATTTTTTCTTACTGATTTTAAGAAACTGTTTAACATAATCGTAAGGTGGTATTTTATTTACAGTTAGAAATATTAAAATATCATCTTCTACATTTCTATTATGTATTCTTTTTATTCCCAACAGACATTTGATTAAAAATTGATTATCTCTCCAAGTTTTACAATTTTTACATATGTCTTCTTCACCATCCATTGAATAATTAATAATATTATTCACTATTTCATTAGGTAAACTCAATTTATACAATTCCATATTTTCTTTTTTGAAGTGACAACAATCATAGCATTTTTTATCGATATAATTTTTGATTTTATCACCGTTCATTTTCCTCTTAATATATAAGGTAATATTTCTTTAAGTAGTTTTGGCTAGGGGTTTCAGGTTTAATTTAAATGTCTTAACCTTCTTGTTAGATTATAAAACAATGTTTAATCATATTATAATTAAATATTATGATTAAACCATGAAATCATTGTTTCTGTTTTCTATAAATTTCAATTATAACATGTTCGATAGTAATGATTTCGTGTCGTTTCATAGTCTGTTTGGTTTCTTCAACTGCTTGTTCAATATGGTATTGTAATGACGCTCTACTTGAAATCTTATTCTGTTTAGATGATGAATAAGAACGACAGTTGCTAATATTATTATGATACATAATTTTCGAACTAACTTCTATTCCAACCTGTATTTCTTCATCATACTTCATCATTCTTAATAATTCTTTTGGTGGTTTCAACGCATATGAAAGCGCTTTATCACCTTTTAAGCATTTATTGCGAATCTCAACATAATATCTACTTTCTCCTACTCGTTCAGTGTAAATAGACGGTTTCCATTTCCTTTGTAAGACCCTTAATGCTTTACACTGTTTTAGTCTTTGCCACCCTTCATTGCCAATCATATAAGAAGCGATGTTTAACAATGTTTCCATAGGTAAGCTAGCACAATTCTTAACCATAAAATTATTCTCTGACATTTTACCCTTACTCATTTTTCTCTTTATATATAAGGTGTTTTCTCTTTAAGTAGTTTTGGCTAGGGGTTGCTGGTCGGCTGGTCTGGGTTTCAGGTTTAATTTAAATGTCTTAACCTTGTTGTTAGATTATAAAACTAGGTTTAATCATATTATAATTGAATAATATCATTAAACTAAATCACTCACGCTTTCCATTCACCTATTCCATCCCACCAGAATTCAATAATTCGCATCTGTCCATCTACTAGACTGTCTTCTTTGTTTAGTTTCCGTATCGCTCCTGATAAGATATAGTGGTTAATAATCATTGCATTAAACTTTCCATCACGGTTTAACTTTTTACCACAGTCTTTTATGATGTCTTCATCTGTTAGGTTTTCATACATTTCTTTCAAGATGTCAAACCTAACAAATGAGTATATCGCCATCAAGTTTAATCCGCTATTATCCCTAAACCTGCTAATGACATCTTTCCAGAATTCTTCGTTTTCATCAACTGCTGGCAAAGGGTTTCTTTTGATGAAATCCTTTATTTTGTTTAACTCTTCATCTAATTCCTTTTTATAACTGTCATTATCATCATCTTCTCCGTCTGATAGCACCAAGTTTGTTAAGTCAGCAATCACTCCGACATTTTCTAAATTCAAGTCCTCTAATCTTATTTCAGTCATATTTTCACTTAATATAATAAGTTAATATTTCTTTAAGTAGTTTTTTTATTTTATGTTAAGGGGTGGGGCTTTATATTGAAAAAAATATTTTCTAACAATTTAATATAATGGCGAGATTAACAAAAGACCAAATAATCAGCAACATCTATTACGACTTAGACGAGGGTTTCGGAAGCACACAAGCGACACACAAGAAGGCAAAGGAAGAAGACCCAACAATAACATTAGACGATGTAAAGTCTTTCTTAAAGAAACAGCCAAATAAACAAATCAAAAATTATAGAGGAACTAATTCCTATACCGCTCCATTCGCACGATATGAATATCAAATAGACATAATGCATATGTCTCCTTTAGCAAAAGACAAGAACGTTCCACAGTATGCTTTAGTCGTGATTGACATCTTCAGTAAATTAGCAGATGTAATACCGATGGAGGAAAGAGACGGAGAGCACGTTTTGAAGGCGTTGAGAACAAGCTTTAAAAAGATGGGTTATCCGATGTCCGTGTATTCTGATGACGACGGAGCGTTTGCAACTAAAAATCAAGTTCAGGATTTCTTCAACAGTGAAGGAATAAACCACATCGTCACGAAGACCCACGCAAATGTGGCCGAGCGTTTTATTAGAACGATGAAAAACAAAATTCACGATAGAGTTAGGTTTAACAACATGAAATGGACCGACGCCCTAACGCCGGCATTGAAACAGTATAACAGCACATCTCACTCATCAACAAGGATGACACCGTCTGAAGCACACAAGGACGAGAATGAAATAAATGTAAAGGTCAATCTTAAACTACGAGAAAAAAACAAAAGAAAGTATCCCAGAATAGTGGAGAACGACAAGGTAAAAGTGTTTCAAAAGAAAAGGGGTAATTACACCGACAGAAAGGAGTATAACTCTAAATGGTCTAATAAAATATTCAGTATCGATAAAATTGAATATGATATTATGGGTAATAAAACTTACAAAGTAGCAGGAATAAACAAACCGCTTTTGAGACACGAAATTTTGTTGGTTAATGATTAAACGTATTTCTTGGTGTCTTCTTTATACTTGACTTGATAGTAATCCAGACTTGATTGTTTAGGTTCTTTTATGATTTTTTCATTCAGTTTTTTAACATAAATGTTTCGTTTATTTTTGTATTCGCTACTGTCTCTATCTACTTCTTTTGCTTGATAATTGTTATTGTTATCATATGTAGGTTTAATATTCAAGCTCTTTAAGATTTTCAGTATGTTTTCATTTTGCTCCAACACTTTTTCTAATCTTGGAAACAACAACTCTAAACTACTGTCAATGTTCGCTAAATGTTCCTCCATATATACTAAATTATAAAACTAAACTTTTAAAACTAAATGTTGCAATTATGTTAAATCTACTCTTTAAATACTAATTTTTCATTATTTGTTTAACAGTTTCCTGAGTTTCCTTATCACCATTATCTGATGGAGTAACTCCCCTCCCAAATCGTATAGCAATATTATGAACATCTGTTTCTAAGTTTATACTGTCTTTAGTTTTATCAATATTCATTTTCTTATCATTCTTACTTATTTTGAAACTTGTCGGAATACACGAACATTTACAGTTTCCTTTCTTTTGTATTTCTAATTCATTTTTCATTTCTAAGATTTTTTTGCACATTGGACAAGCAAACTCAATAACTGATGTTTCTTTAACAATTTCTTCTTTTTCTTCATCAGTTGAAGAAACAACTGATTCTGTCTTATTCTTTTTCTTTCTTCCCATCTATATTAATATTTATATTTTTAATATATTGTATCACAAACTTAATTAATTCTAAAACAAAATAGCATACTTTCTTAAATCTATTATCAGTTATAACAACATCTTCTATATGTTGTACTTCATTTATTATATCAATATAATCTGTATAACTCCTTTTCATATTAAGTAATAAGATAAATTATTTTTCCTTTCTGTCTTTCTTTTCTTATAAAGTTTTTTTCATTGTATCGTCTTTATTCCATCTATATTCCACAAATTTCTGATGATGTTTTGAATTTAGATGTTTAAATAAATATTTGTCATCATAAGTTTTACCACAACTGCAATGGTTAATGACCATATAAATAATAAATATAAAATATTTTCTAAATAACTTTAATATTATTTTATTATGTCTGATGTTCCAATAATAAAACCAATAAATATAACTGATTACGATTTCAAACAATCTAAATATGAACATGTACCAAAACTACCTTTTCGCTCAATTGTTGTTGCTTCATCAACGGGTGGCAAAACAGTTTTAATTCAAAACCTTATCCTAAATGTTTATAGGGACTGCTTCGCCCGTATATTCATTTTTAGCCCGTCGGTTCATAATGACCCTACCTTCGTTGAAGTCAAGAAATATCAAAAAGATAATATGAAGGTTGATGATGAAAAAGAAAAGTTATATTATGACACCTACCA